GGTGGTAAGCTATAACTATTATGACAAAAAAAATTGTACTCAGACGACACACTGATTAATGATGAAATGTTTGCTTTAAAAGGGAAAAAAATAAAAAAAACTTTTACAAAAACAACAAAAGATATGCTAAGTTGGGCAGCCACTTTAAAACACTGACAACTTTGGTGGATTGCAACTCACTTCATCAGATGCATTAAGCGCAGTATTTCACAGGACAAGAAAATGATATACAGCCAGTTTCCTTGAACCCAACATTCTTCAGAGGGCTGATAGATTATGCAAATTGAAATTCCAAGTATACAGAGGGATCCAGGCTGAATAAAAACCCCACAGTATTTGATTGTAGTGCTATTTTCTTCTTCCTTACTTGGAGGAAACATTGTGACTTAATTTGCTTTAAGGCAGGTATTGCCAAAAGGATAGCCGAGTTTTCTTTTTAGCCATATGGAAAAACCTAGCATTAAGCTATCTCACAGCTTATCAATAAGGCCCTCTATCTTTAAATAGAGGAAAAGCAAGCTTTTGCATACCAATAGAAGGTATTACCTTGATTACATTTTAATAGCATTAAGAGCTGTTTCGTTTGCATTTCACCCTGAGGTGCATAAAGATCTTGATTACTCACTAAATTGAGATAATCTTTATTGGCACCTCCTCTGTCTAACTATTTCGTTAGCTTGTTTTCTTTGTTACAAGCTTTGTTTTATCTTGTCCTATTTCTGTTTGTTTTGCACTGAGAGATGCTCAGAGTCTGGAAATTAGATTACATAATAAACCAAGACTGCCATACATCTTCATAAGAATAAGTCAAGTGCTCCTGAGTGGACAGGACTATCAGTTTGCAAACATGAGTGGATTTATTACTTGGAGATGTTGTGAAACCACACCCAGGTCCCCCACCTCCAAAATTTGCAGGGGCCTGAGTCTGCTGACTTTTCAGAAAATCTTTAAAAAACTGGTTGTTTCCTAAGGTTGAAAGGCTGGAGTATTTGGGGGAATCTGGGTTTGTGTTTTTTTGCCCTTCCTTGGTGGAGGGGATCATTATTTTTAATCTACCATGGTGTCTTTCATTGCACAATGTGTACATTTTCATTTGTATGGCTAGTTACACCCCCAGAATTATTTGACTCAGATAGAAAAAAGAAAATATAGGGTAATATGTATATATGTATGTACTTGATGGTTTAAACAACCAAAAAGCACACAGGTCAACAGCTACATCTTTCATTAGTGTTGCTTCGAATAGCTACGTTTAAAAGGGCTGTTCTTCCTAAAATGTTAGTTTCCTTTCAAATCTATTCTGTTTTCTACCACTAGGTTTCATAGAATAAAAGGAAACTTTTATACATTAAAAATCTAGATTTAGGGAAACCAAATAATTTTTAAAAAGCATTAGCATCTTTGAAACAATGTTTTGATGCCTTTCAATTAAGATAACCTAATTAGAAGTTAATATGTTTAATGGGTACAAATTTGTTAGCATTTGAATACTTAGCAGGGTCGCACCACTCCTAATATTAAGAAATTACCATCTCAAATTTTACTGAAAGCTGATTACAGACATTTGGAAAACTAAAATATAACCTAATTTTTCCTCCAGTCTTTGTTCCCTTTTTAAGCATGCAGATGTTCTTACTCAGAACAACAAAGAGGAAGATAGAGGATTTTATAGATATTAACTTGTGACTATAAACTTTTTCACAATTCAACATATTTAGCAAAATATTCGATTACAAAACTCTAAATAGGTTTCCAGTAACTCAAGTCATTCCTCTGTTGGAAGAAATGTGATAACTTCCTACACCTCCTAACAATGTAAATCAGCTTAAATTACTATTAACAGCATATATGTATTTAAAAGCATTTCTCTTCAATACTATCTAAAATTCTTACACCAAGCAAAGCAAATTCTCCTGAAAGTCTTTAAAAACATGGGGTAAAAATTGGGGGTCGTCTTTGTTGCACATTCATATTTTACAGTATTTGCTACTTTAAAATGTTGTGAACAAAAACATTTAATACTATAGGGGTGTATGTATACATTTGCTCTTACCCTCACATACAATATACATACTCAGTCTACTCTGGCATATTTATTGGAAAGAAAATAATGCTGACCTCCAAGATGAAGAAAAAAAAGACACTTTGTTCAGATAGCATCGTAAAGATTTGGAGTTGAAACGGGGAGAACACGCAGACACGGTAGGTTTATAGAGGGATCACAGCTGAATGGAGGAAAATCAACTTTGCGTCAAAATGCCCACAGTAGAATCTTCTCTAGACTTGGAACCTTTTTTTTTTCCTTTTGCTATACCAGAATTTTTTAAAAAATGGCTTGTTGAAGTTGCCATAATGACCTGCTTCACACATCATCGCACCATGCCAAAAAACAAAGAAACCCCATCACGGTTTAATGCATCGTTAAAACGCAGCCAATGCTCTAACTAATGGATGGCAGTTTCCCCCCTGCGAAGCACGGAAGGTTTAGAAGCGGGCTGCATTTTTAGGATACTGTCGGCGAAAAGAAGCTACGAGCCCTCTTAAAAAACAACCCCGGCAAGCTGGCTAAAAGCGGCTCCCCGCATTTTCCCGACTTCTCGACAACACAGGGAAGGGTGTTGCTACCTTCAGAACTGTCCGAGTTTTAAGGCATCTGAACCCAAAGGGAGAACCCTCTCCCCTTCACATCTTTAGGATTTTAGAATTAACTCTTTTGGCTTCGATGGGTTTATTTATTATAGATTCGATCCGCAATTAAGTGGTTCGAAGAGCCGGGGGGGGGGGAGAGCAAGTCGGCGTGCCAAGCCACAAAAGGAAAAGGACAATCGGGGGAGAATCCGAGCACATGGCCGAGAGAAACACGCTGCGCATTTTTTATTCGGCATTTAAATTCCCACGTACGTTCCTCGGCGTCCACGCCCAAAGCGGGACACGTGCCGTGCGGTACCGCCAGCGAAGCCAACGCAAGGGAGCCAGCCAGTGTTTAAGTTCAGCGCAAAGAACACCCCTCCCCCCGCGCGCCTTTTCTTCCTCCCCGGGAGAAGCCAAAACATGGGCGGGTGCGCGGGCGCGCGGGCCGCCCGTGGCGCGCGCTTACGCTCAGTTGTGTTTGGAACCCACGCGGCTCTCTCTCCCCCTCTCTCTCTCTCCATTCTAGCCGCTCGCGCTTTTCATGAATGGAAAGCGAGAAGCCCTCAAGGCGCACGCGCCTCCTGCCGCGGGCCAATCAGAAGCGGCGGCTCTAAGGCCAGTGTTTTGGTCACGTGGGGCGTTTGTAGTTGCGGCTCTAGTCGGGCGGGCTCTTTTTATCGCTTGGCCCGCCCGCCTTGCGGTACCCACCCTTTCCTCTTCTTTCTCCCCCGCCCCTCCGCTACTACTATTACTACTACTAACCCTTCCGCCTCCCCCGGTCCCCCCGCGCGCTCTGTTGGCCTGGGAGCCGCTTGTCGGGCAATGCCGTTCGTGCGCTACCGAAAGGTGGTGATCCTGGGATACCGCTCGGTCGGTGAGTGGCGCTCTGCCCGGCCGGAGTGGAGGGGTGGTGGTGGTGGTTGTCCGCTGGGCGGGCACCACGTGGCAGGAGGTGCCGGGGCGGCTGCTCTCTTGCCGAGCGGGCTCCCGGGGAGCCGGGAGCAGGGCCGGGAGGAGGACGCGGGCGTGGACCTGGAAGCGGTGGGGGGGGGATAGTTGGTGGAAGTTCGGCGGGGAACAAAGTGAGCGCTGTGGAAAAGGGAGCCGGGCGGGCGCCGGGCTTTGAGCACAAGCCGAATCGATGGCTGGGAGGAAAAAAGGGTGGTGTGGGGAGCGAGGGGAAAAGGGCGGTGGGTTTGCGCCGTTCCTTGAGCGCAGCAAGTCTGGGGCTGCCGGGGGTCGCCCGGCGGAGAGGCTGGAGCGGGGTGGGAGTTTGCAGGCGAGGAGGATGGATGGATGGATGGGAGGCGGGCGAGCGCCAAGAACGCCGGGGAGATCCCCACCTTTGGTCGCCCCGGTTGCTGGGCGGCGGCGGCGCGAAGAGCAACGGGTTGCGCGTGTGAAGTCGCGGAAGATGCTAAGCCGGAGGCTTGCATAAGCGCACCGTCGTGCCAACCGTACCTGCCCTACTGTCCCCATTTATTCGTACCCATTTCATACATACTCATTTTTATTTTTATACCTATTATCTTGTAAACGATTGGCAAATCAAATTAAAAAAAATATTGAGAGTGGATCCGGATGCAGCTACTTTGGAGCGCTCTTATTGTTGTAGTGTTGGGCTGAGAACGGGTAGGGTGGGGTAGGGGGTCTGGTTGCAAGGAGAGTAATAAAAGAGTACGTCGCTATTCGAGCATCCATATTTTGGCGGCCACAATAGGGCGTGCTCTTTTGATTTCAAAAGAGGTGATTCGGAGGGTTTTGAAGCCTAGATTGGATAAACCCTGATTACTTGATTACTCTTCTAAATTGGCCAGAAGGAAAACTGGTGGAAAGATCCGGTCAAATAGACAATAGATCCCTTTGATGAAATGGTAGCCTTTGACTTTAGGTATAGGTTTAGGTATATATATTATAGGCTATGCTCCCTTGCTTTGTGGATTTCCTGTCTCTGAGCTTGAACTTCGTATATAGATAATTTATATCTCTGCCGTGGATCTCTTGTTAAAAAGGTGGAAATTTGCCTGATGAAAAAGTAGGGGAGAGGTGTAAAAGATTCCTGAGAAGCACACAGGCTGCCCTGCTTTGCGTTTTTGGAGAAACCTTTAGATACAGTCTTTTGGTGTGTGTGTGTGTGGAATTAATTGGGAGGAATGTGACTGAACAATGCACATGCTTGAATCCAGTGCTGCTCTTCTTATTAATGAACAACTTATTTTTAAACAGTCTCTGGAGATAGATTTTCTGCTCTTCGGGCCAAGGTTTAGCATTAGTAGCACATGAGTAGGCAAAACTTTCAAGTAGTGGGCAGCTATTTCCTGACCTTTACTAGTTTGTCCTCGGGGAGCTATTTGTGCCTACCCAATTCCCAACCCATCTGATCTCCTCTTCCCCTGAAGAGAAATGCAAGGAGTCACCCAGGCTATGTTTTCTATTAATCTATGTGCAGTGGGAGGCAGTCAGCAGAGGGCAAAGGTTATTCATGGGTGTCTGGATAGTGAAATCATTTGTTTCCTTGGATTAAATTTGCAACAGCTTTCTCTCCCCCCCCCCCCTTTTTAAAGTGATTATGTGAAAGACTCATCTGGGTACCTCTAGTATGAAAAGGTGTTTGAAAAGAATGGAGATTTTTGCCCCTCCTGCCCTAATGGATGCCTAACTTATGGACCCTGCTGAAAAGTGATGTGTATATTGAGCTGTAATGTATACACTTGGTTGATTAATCAACCATCTGTGCCTTCATTGAACAGATCAGAAGGTGGATTGAGATATATCAGAACTGCTGTTGTGAGTTATTGCAAAAGAAAACCCTTCACATTTGGACTAAGAATTTGAATTACAAACTTATTTCATTGTACATTGGGCCTTATCTTTCTGAGGATGCTGTCATGTTTTTGCTAGTTATGTGTATAAGCAGAGATTGATGGAATAGTACATGACATGTATGTCTATGTCATGTTTCGTACAGGAGAGCCCAGGGTAGCCCCCAGGATCCCACCCCTAAAATAGTTTTGTAAAATAAGGTCAGTCTGGAAGACAATAATTCAATGAAGTTCATACCTAAGAAAACAATCTCAGTTCTTTCTAACATAATAACATTACTATACTTATTCTCAAATTTTGGGCACCTCATTAATCTTCACTGCAACTGAAAAAAATGCAACAGCTCAGCATCCTAGCTTGCTGTAGAGTGTAGAGATTTAAAATAATGCACTGATATCCTAAAAGGAAGCTTATAATATAAATACTAAGTTTGGTAGGGTTAGCTATTGAATTGAATACTGTGATTTCTTTGTATTTTGTATATGCGCCACACTAAGATGTGCATCTGAGCCAAGTAGCTTAATATGGTAGAGGAACAGGTTGCCAAGAACAACATTCTAAATTCAGCTGTTGTGAATCTTGCTAAACAGTTCCTTGGCTAAGTGTGACTAAGCTTTGAAAATATACTTGTCTTCTCCTGATGATTTCTTGGTATCTACAGCTGGAAACTGTTGGCTAAATTACAGTGATGGATAGCAAAACTGTGATCAGCTGTTAGAGGAGTATGGGGAGCTCCTGATTTGATTGAGAAGAGGGGCATTGGAATGAATGAGAGTAGAAAAGCCTCCACTGTTCTTTCCTGGAAACATTCCCTTAGTGCAGGGGTCAGCAACCCACAGCTCTGGGGCCACATGTGGCTCTTTCATCCCTCTGCTGTGGCTCCCTGTCGCCAGTTGGCTCCACAATTGATAGTGCTTTTGGTTAGGACAGGTAGTTGAAAAAGAAGGCTACGCTAGGAGGAGACTCTGTGGTGGGGGAACCAGACTTCTGGTCAGCTCCAGAATTGAACGGGGGGGGGGGGGGGGGGGGGGGGCTGAGTTGGAAAAATAAATGCCTTATCTTCGTTGGGTTGATACAGTAGAATTATAGAACACAGCTGTATCTTTGATTAAGTTTACTGTAATTTTTTTTTTGCTTGATTGTTGGGACCCAACCTGAGTCATTGGGAGATGGGTGGCATGCATGTTTAATAAGATTTAAATTTATTTAGAGTATCAGAAATGAGAAAAACCCTGAGATTTGGCTACAGAACGACTATTACAGAATAGTGGAATGCTTAAAGAATGGTAATCAGAAGTCTGCTGTCACTCAGACAATCCCAGTAATTCCAGATCGGTCACCAGTTCAACCATCTTGGAGCCCATTTTATCAGATGCATGCAGTTTGTATCATTTAATAAGTAAAATTGGGTTTATTCCTGTCCGCACTCCTGCATACTTCTGATTTTAAACAATGGGATCAGAAAGTCATGAAATTCAAAAGCTGTAGGGTGCAAAGTGAACAGGCTTCTAGTAGAGATTTTTTTTTAAAAAAAAACCTGTTCGTGGCAGACCCTCAAATCTGGTATGGAATGTAAACAATTTTTTATTTAATTCTCCCTTTTGGGTATGTTAATCTTAATAATTGCATTGCTGTGATCAGGGTGATACAAATGTTTTCTATTGTTCTAAATTATATTCTTCATCACCAATAAATCTCCACAGCAATAATTTCTTTTGCTACCTTTTCTCTTCAGGTAAGACATCTCTTGCTCACCAGTTCGTTGATGGGGAATTTCTGGAATGCTATGACCCCACTGTGGAAAGCAGTAAGTGTGCTATTGTTGTGCTTTTATTAGATGTGTGTCTCTCCCCTTCCTTACTGGGAAGAAAATATGTTAGAGAGAGGTGTAGGGCTTGATCAATAATAAAGTTGGCTTATGTAACTTCGATTCCATGCCAAGGAAAGCTGTATTGGCACGTGTAAAGAAAAGATATTCATGTTAGAGTTGTGTTTGCTGAAAAGGAAGATGACCCTGATCCCCAAAGAGTTAATAAACAGGGAGAAATACACATGTCCTCTATATGCCCCACTTCCCTTTCTTCTTGCCCTACTATTGCCATCTCCAGCTAAATCCAATCTTCAAGATTCCTTCTCCCAGTAAATGGTTCCAGGACACTTACCTATTAATTGGCAGGTGTATATCTGTATCTGCCAGCATCCATTCTCCATAAATGAAAGCTGGGATTCAAAACAAGTATAGATATAGTGAATTAATAATTAATTCTTTAACTGTTTGTAAAATAAGATGTCCCAATTATAAAGTTGATTGTGGAATCTCCTTCCAGCTGAGATCATAAGCGAAATGATGGGATAAGAGAAGGGATATAGTAGTTTGGCAAAGGGAAGGGGGAAAATGCATATGGGTGGAGATGAAAGGAAAACCAGTGGTAGTGAACAAGAGAAAAGAAAAAAAACAAGGAAAGTTCTGTTTACATCTTATACAAAATTCACAATGAAACCCCTCCCAAGGTTTTATATTCAAACTATATATACTACATATATCCAGGCATTTCAGCACCAGAGTCCTGTAGCCACTTACACCTCTACCCATTCATACCACATCTTCCTTCTATTGATTGCAGGGAATTTTCCTGCTCTGCCTTGTAATTCACAGGATAGAGGTTTCCAGAGCTGCAGGTTCTGCAGATGATGAGTTCATGATGTTTTGATGTGGTTAAAGCAAAGAAGACATTTAGAGCATTTAAGAATGATGGGGATGCATTTTTTTTTTTGGTCTTTCCAATCTCCCTTAAGAATACCCAACCATCTCCTAATACTGTAATGGCAACTGTTGGCAACATATTCCATGACTCTTCCTATTACAATTAGAAATTGTTATTAATACTATTAAAGTAACTTTCCATAACTGGATGCCTTCTAGATGTGTTGGGGGTATAGATCCCAGATTTCCAGTTGGCTGGAACTATGGAAGGGAGACTTGGGGAAGACAGTGATGGGATGTGTAAAGGGAGGGCAGCTTTTGTTTAGTCATTCAGACATTATTTCATTGAGCAGGAATTACTGTCTGGGCCTGTATCCATTAACTTGGAAGGAAGCAAAGTGAACCCAGTGGCCTAGCCGATGTATGCTCAAGTAAGATGTCCTCAAAAGAGAGATCAAAACTAGCTCAAAAGAGAGATCAAAATGCATTCTCCTAATCTGTTGGGGACAATCTGGTACTCATCACTGAGAAATAGCACATGTCCTGTACTTTTATTCTTCTGGCAAGTCCCCTACATCTTCCAGATGTTTACGTTCTTAGAGTCCAGTACAATAAGAAAGAAGAACCTTCTCTCTTCCTGCCTAATCAAAACAATTTTGAACAGAGTCAAACAGAAAATTACAGACATGTTGACGTAAGCACAGTTCTGGGTATGAACTAATTTGATTGCTGAGACTAGAAAGGTATGACGCTGGTTATAAGTACATCGGATTGTAGCACAACCACATATATAATATATTGGTATAGATAGAACATATCTGCTATTTCTCAAATTTGACTAAAATCAGAAAAAAAGTCTTTTGGGCAGAGTTAAAACATCTCAGAGTATTTGTTTTCTTTCGACGAACAAAGATTCAGTAGTACCTCTGCACTCATTTCCTGCTTTGCCACAAACCTTTTCCCCTGAACACCAGTCCTTTCCTGTTTTTGTAGGGGGTTACCCTCCCCGCCCATTTTATTCAAAGAACAAATTTAGGTGGTTGGAAAGCAGGTTTGCTTATAAATCTGTTGTTCTCTCCACTGAAATAGTTAATTTAGTTTCTTGAGGCTTAAGGCTCACATGTGCAGAGAGGAAGGTTTAACTAATGAAAGCATTTACTGGAGCCCAGCTATTTTAACAATAAATTGTTAAAAGAGTCAATGTGTGTATACATTTGCCCAATAATTTCTCATAAATTGAACATTATTTATACAAGTCATCAGGGATGTAGTAAAAGCATTCTTCAGTCCCATTAGTTGTCTCTCCAATGAATAGAGCACCAGATTGCAATTTTGTTCCTCTGCTTCTTATAAACAGTATGTTTACCTAGGTTTTACCATACCTGTTGCATTACAGTAGCTCCTCTAAACCCTGGAATATGTCACTCAAGCACCCTTAATTTTAATTAAATAGGACACCCTCTGGAGATGCTAGACAATTGCCCCATCATTTCATTTTGCCATCAGGATGTGTGGGCCTTCTTCCTTCCCGATATAAATTCTTACAGCTGATAAGTTGTCAGGTCGGTTTCTGCTGAAGATTTATTGCAATTGCTTTGCCAACTTCGGAAACATCGGCTACAACTAAACGTTGCTGATTTCTACCATGCTTTGCAAACAATAACCGCAATACAATTGCTTTGGCGGGTGAAGCAGCAAGAGGTATTAACAAAACACTCTTTAATTGCTATTTGTTTGGTTATTTATTTGCTTGCTTGCTGTCTTTTGAATGCCTCTGTTGGATGAGAGATTTCCTTCCAATGGGCCTCATTGGAAGAAAGTGCTGTTAGCTTCCCCCAGTATGATATTGGTTATAGAAAACAGAATGAGCTCAGACCTTGGGGAAGGAAAAAGCTGTCAGGCCTACAGGTAGTCTTTGACCTATGACCAAAATTGGGCCTGGAATCTCAATTGCTGAGTGAAGTGGTCATTAAGTGAGACATCAATGTGACCATTCCATAGCTCTCCCAGTTGTGGTTGTAAAGTGGAGCACAGGATTGTTTCAAGGACTGGAGGAGGCCCTGATGACTCCAACCTGTTCTTTGGCCCATAAGGCCCTGCAAGAGTCAGCCAGCTACAAGACTCATCAAGTTGGGCAAAACTGCTATGAAGCAGCAGAAACTTCCACTGGTTACAGCCTCACTGTGTACATAAGTTTCCATGGGCTGGGAGACCTTGGCTGGTACAGGATGTACTGGTATGTGCAAAGGTGTAACAGACCAGGGAGCCTTGGCTGGCTTTAGGGCCCAGCAATGTGCATAAATTTCTCCACTTACATTTGTGTTGTTCTCTAGCTGTTGATACACAGACCCAGCCAATCCTGGGCACAACCCTCCTCCGAAAGTCATCTCATGCTATTCCGCAACTGGCGCCATTCTTGCAATTATTTGGAAAGCTCTTCCAATTTACACAGGTTGCTTGGACCTGTAACTGTACAAAGCATTCCAATTGTAATTGAGTGGAGAGTGTGATCTTAAGTCCCATTGCACCCTAAAGGAGGAGTTCAACTTCCTTTCATGAACGGAAGTGAACCCCTTCTTCCAGGTGGAGAAACGTAACTGCGATCTCCACGATATAAGGATGTCAGCTCCCTTTGTCTGGCAATTTTTGCATCTAATCCCCAATCCCAAGAAGGAGTTCTCTCAGCAGGTGGCAGCAGTTTGCAACCTTCTCAACTGGCTTCTCCATTGACTTTTTGGGGAAGCCGGCAAAGAATATTGTAAATGATGATCAGATGATTATGGATGGCAACCGGCCATAAGTGCGAACAGGTTACCAATTGCTTGAAATGTAGTCATGTGACCATAAGTAGGATAAGTATAACATTTTATGATAGAAGTGCCTTTACAGGCTATAAAGCACCCCTCCTGAGACCATCATAACTTCAAAAACAAATGTTAAACAATCAAGGAACCACCAAGAACACTCCCACCAACTTTGATAGGGAAAACCGCTAGTATACAAAAATAAGAAGCAACACCACTCCCTTCTAGCACTGATGATGTTAGCTAGTTTGAAACATATGTGAGAAAACCACCAAGCTCGGAGAGTACCAAGGACCCCACAGATTGCTAAACAATTGCTCATAAGTCAAGGACTACCTGTAGTTCGAGGACAAGGCTGTCTCTGAGCGAAGGAAAAACAGAGACAACATAATCAAAATGACTCAAGTGCAGAGAAACTCAGGATGTTGCTGGATTTTTGGAAGGGATCTGAGAGGCTCAAGTCACACCTGTATCATCTACTTTCTTTTTTAATTTTTAAACTTTTTTTAAAGCACAAATAATACAAACAGTACATATACATCTAAATACAAAAAAAGACAAAAAAGGGGAAAAACACATATTACAGTGCACCCCCACTTCCCGGAGACCCTTCCCCCCCTTATATTTCTTAGATATGCAATATATTCCAATTGTGTCCTTATCCCCTCCAAAACGACACATATTCTTGAGTAGGTTTATTCCCTTTGCCTTCCACCAACACTGATTTTATAAAATCCCCCCATATTTCATTATAATTATTTACTTTAATCATCTCTTTTTAAAGTTTAATTTCTGTTAATTTATCATTTTTTGCCATACTCCAAATTTCATTATATCACTCATTTATTTGAATATCCCAATTTCATCCCCAATATTTAGCCATCACTAATCTAGCTGCCATTATCAAATTTACAATCAATTCCTTTTTTGTTTCATTTATATCCAGTTTTTCCACCAGCAACAGTAATGCAATCCTTGATGACATGTCTAGATTTACATTCAACAGTACTCTAATTTCTCTAAACACCATGTCCCATATTTTTGTGCACTATCACAATCCCACCACATATCTTTATATGTTCCAACCTCTTTCTTGCACCTTCAACAAATATATGTATATGTACCAGCTATATGATTTAATTTACGTGGTGTTAGGTACCACCTCCATATCACTTTATATCCATTTTCCTTAACTCTAACTCATATAATCTTATATACTCTTCTATTCCAAATACTTTCTTCTTTCTCTTTTGTTTTAAGCTTACAACAAAATGTTGATGGTGGGAAAAGATGAATTCCACTTGCAGCTTGTGGACACTGCGGGACAGGTAATTCCCCCCCCCCCCATCATTTCAGGTACAAATGGGAGTGTGGCCTTCCCTGCTCATCACCTGTCATAAGACATAAATGGCTTGCATCTTAATGTGCTGGCTTTGGAGTTGCAGTTGGGGTGGTGGATGATGTCTCTTTAAGATTCATTAATCTGAATTTTGCTAATGTCCCTTGAGGGTCAAACAATCACCTCAGAGCTTCGATATCCGCTGACTTAAAACTCAGCTTTCACGAATTAATTATTCAGAAAAGCATATATGCACTTGGCATTAGAAATGATATGTTCCTGAATTAAAAATTCCCCCTAGTTGGCATACAGCAGCAGTACCCAACTTTTTTGCCATCAGAGACTGGTTTGGTGGAAGATAATTTTTCCATGCACTGGGGGGAGGGGGTGGTTTTGCTTTTGCTTACTTGCCTGCTGTTCACTTATAGCTGTGCGCCCCAGTTCCTAACAGGGATTGAGGGCCCTGTCATAGAGTGATACAGACTTTTCTTCTGTTTTTTTTTGTCCAGGATGAATACACTATCTTGCCACACTCGTTTATCATTGGCATCCATGGCTATGTGCTGGTCTATTCGGTCACATCTCTCAGAAGGTAAGAGGGCACAGATAGAGCGTGATTACAAGGCAGTTGGACAATAAGGTCCTGATGAAAACAAGGGAATTGTCTGAATTCTGTAAGGGTCTTGAAACAAAGAAGTCCTTCCCAGGGATGAAATGCTACTGATTTGGACCGGTTCGTCTGAACTGGTAGTAAAAAAAAAATGCTACTGCTTCGGGCAAACCAGTATTTCCAGTGATCAGCTGTGATGCATGATTTATATTAGCTAGAATTGTCAGATTTCCTGCTTTCTTGCTAGTCTTAAAATTGTGCAGCACGGCAGATTTCCCCCCCCCCCCCCCCCGCTGTTCTACTTACCTGGATGGCTTCAAAATGTTCCTTTTTTAGCGCTGTGCGCTAAAACACACATGTGCACAAAGCACACATGCACATGCAGAGTGCGCTTGGTAGCAGACTCACAAAATCGGTAGCACACTGCAGAAGATTTCACTGCTGGTCCTTCCCTTAATACAGATAGTCCTTGACTTATAACCATTGACTTAGTAATCGTTCAAAATTATAAGGACACTGAAAAAAGTGACTTATGACCATGTTTTACACTTATGACCTTTGCACCATCCCCATAATCAGATGATCAAAATTAGGGCTCTTGGCAACTAGCATGTATTTAGGATGGTTGCAGTGTTCCACGGTCATGCGATCAGCCTTTGCAACTTTCTGACAAACAAACTTGATGAGGGAAGCCAAAATCATTCAACAACCATGTTACTAACTTAACAACTCCGGCAAGAAGTTGTAAAATGGGGAATAACTCATTTAACAACTATCTTACTTCGCAACAGGAATTTTGGGCCCAGTTGTCGTAAGTTGAAGACTATCTATATTTGCAAGACCACAGAAATGGGTTTGCGAAAGATATTAAAGGCTTGGAATTAGTCTCTCTAAGCCCAGGTTTGTCTAACTGGAATGCTGCCTTCATATACCATCCTGCCTTGTTTTTCAGTCACCTTGAAATGCTTGTTTAGCATTTTGTTTTGTTATCTTCTAATCAAACGTTCAGATACACACTATATTTTCCTGGTTAATGGCTTCCTATCTATAAGGGGCATTTTGGGGATAATGTTTTAAAATGCTTTCTAGCAATCCTTGGCTCATACTAAAGATATAAAAAGCTCTTCTAATCTTCTTTCTTGCCTTTCCCAGTTTTCAGGTGGTGAAGTCTCTGCACAGCAAGTTACACGAAAGTAGAGGGAAGACAAGGTAAACATTAACATGGCAGGTCAGGAAAGAATGCAACTCTTAAGGCAAGACATTCAAGCATATTACTAGGGAACCCTTGTCTGAAAGGATGGGGTAGGGAAAGGTTCAGTGGCTTCCCAAATCTGTGTAAACATTGGGAAATGTTAACTACAAATTCTCTCCCAGAAATAGATTTCAGACTGAACAACATTAGTACAATAAGCCACCTCTAAATGATGACGCTTTTTAGGTTTACAAAAAAACCCCAAAAGTTTTGCTTAGAATGTAGTGATACCAATAGAGAACTGGATTCCTCTGAGCATGTTTAAACAGCATTTCCCTCTCTAGTGTTTCGGAACCTCTTCAAATTGCAGATGCGTGAACTTCAACTTCCAAAATTCGCCAGCCAGCCTGCTAGCTGGGGAATTCTGGGAGCTAAAATCTGCATGCCTTAAAACATGCAGAGGTTGTGAAACATTAAACCAGGGAGTAAGCTTAGAACATGTAAAATGACAGGTGTATTTTTAAAAGTATTTTCATTTAAGGCATAGGAAAGGATTTATTGGGAAATGCAGATTGTCCTCAATTTACAATCATTCCTTTAAATGTCTAAGGAGATCCTCAGTCCTCCAGGTCATGGTTGTGCCAAAGGTGCTTTTTTCAAGAGGCAACTGGACTTTCTGGTTTTCTTTGAAGACATTTCGCTTCTCATCTAAGAGCTGAAGAAGCTTCTTGAATGAGAAGCAAAACATCTTCAAAGAAAAACCCAAAAGTCCAGTAGCCTCTTGAAAAAAGCACCTTTGGGATAATCATTCATTTAGTGACACTTTGATGTTACAACAGGACTGGAACCAGGGACTTACAATCTGTTCTCACACCTGCTGTAGCATCCCCACATGATCAGAATTTGGGCGCTTGGCAGCCTGCATATATATTTTAAGATGGTTGCAATGTCCTGGGTTCATTCAATCCCCATTTGTGACTTTCTCAGTCTGCTTCTGATAACCACAGGGGATTTGGAGGGAGCCAGATTTGCTAAATGACCGTGTGATTAACAATTGGAGTAATTCATTTAACCACTGTGGCAAAAAAAAAGTTGCAAAATCTGATGCAACTCAGTTAACAACAGCCTTGGTTAACAACAGACATTTGAGCCCCAATTGTGATTGTAAACCCAGGACTACCTATACCTTCAATTGCAGCTCCATGCAAGGGCAGGTGCACCTGTGACCAGAAATTCAGAACTATCCCAGCCATAGGCAGAATTGTTGCGTTAAGTGACCCCCTTAGATAGGACTATGGAAGTTGTGAGTGAAGCGGGATGACTTTTCTGTTTAGCATTACAAGAAGCAACTTTTAGAAATGTCCCTCCTTTGTTTGGCAGGATGCCTGTAGTGCTTGTTGGCAATAAAGCTGATCTGTCATTAGAAAGGTAAGAACTTTTCTCTATTGTTTAAGAAATGATAGCCGGGGAATAAGAATAGAAATAGCTTCAGTCTCTTTAGAAGATTGGCTGTAAACTGAGTCATTTTCCTTTCTATAAAGGAGTCTGAACTATAGAATCAGAGCAGACAGCCTGTCTGGCTGGAAGAATTTTGGAAGTTTTGGAGCATGTTTGCAGAATAATTGCAATGTACAGGAATGGGGCTGGTGGTGGTTTAGTTTTAGTTACTTATTCCTAAACGGGCTTCCTTCTTACATTCTCTCACCATAAGTTCTAATCTCTCCTGGCATTTTTTTTAAAGCAAGCTTAGAACAAAGGTTGTCACTGCCTTCTCTCAGGGTGTGCTTTGATTTCCCTATAATCCTGAAAAACTTTTCTCAAATTAGTTTTCACATACTTTCTTTCCACTGACATTCCTGGGCAGCCACTTTTTCTCTCTGCTTTTATGAATAGCACACTGTATGCACCAATGGCTGCATCCACATTCCTGCCATTCCAAAGAAGAGAATTTTATCTTAATTGGCCCCTTTTGTAAATAATAATAAACTCTAGGGATAGGGCAGTGTGTTTCTGAAATGTTTATCTACATCAAATCTTTAGAGAGAGAAAAATAGGTACATTGGTTTTTTTTTTAATTCAGAGAGTTAAGATAAAGTACAAACTTTTAAAAAAAAGAAAATAAATTTTACAAAAACAAAAATAATCAAAATATTAAAAAGGAAAATATGCATTAAAAAGGCAAAAGGCAGAAACACACACATATGTATATTATCCACTCTAGTAGAATACTGATAAATATATTCCAACGATATTAGTTCCCCCCATCCCTTGGGAAGCAGGCCCAAAATGTATAAACCTCTACATTTGTTTGCAACCAATTTGACCTGTCATCTATCTACTATGTATAAAAGCAAACTGTTTAACAAGTGAACCAACAGCAAAGTTAAACTTCAAAGCCCTCTGTTAACAATCTATTATTGCATTTAACTCTCAGTGGCTTCTTATCTACCATAAATCACCACAATCATTATCTCTGCATTGCTTTTAACTCAATTCTTATGGATGTAAGGTTTTTGAAAATTAGCATTGAGTGAAAGAATAGGATTTGGGTGTTTACAAACTCCCTTATGCGGAGTGGAAAATAGTGTAGGGAAGTCCTGCTATAGTGTTGATCTGTTATGATCTTTATGCCGTGATTCTTTTTTAATTAAATTTTAACAAAGAAAATTAGGTAATTAAAAGTAAAGGTTTCCTCTGCCCAGTCATGGCCGACTTTAGGTGTTTGCGCTCATCTCCGTTTCTTAGCCGAGGGAGCCAGCATTGTCTGAAGACACTTCCATGATCAGGTTGCCGACATGACAGTACACCTAGGGGCACGGATATTAACATAAATCCAGGATACATATAGAGAAGAAAACAAGCAAGAAAAAATACAGAAAATACAAAAGAAATCTTTCCTATATACCAGTGATGGCTAACCTTTTTCTCTTCACATGCCGAAATCGTGCACATGTGTGAATCAGTATTTCAGATTATAGCCTACTGCTGTTGAGGTTATAATATTTGCGTCCATAAAAGTTATAGACTTGTCTGAGATGGGCATCATACAAGTTTGATAAATAAATAGAACACCCACCCATTCCCGAAGTTGATTGCAATATGACAGTGTTGATGAGGTTTTGTTTTATTTAAATTTATTTATTTTTAGTCGTCAGGTAAAGACGGATGAAGGCCGGAAACTTGCTGATTCATGGGGTGCTGTGTTTTTGGAATCCTCAGCAAAAGAAAACCAGGTATTACTCTGATTTCACCTAAATTAAAGGGGGGGGTGGGGAATAATATCTAAAAGCCATAAAAATACCACTTCAAATGCCCACTTAAATCTATTGTGCTTTCTGCAACAAACTAAGGATTTTTTCACAAGTTTAATTTTGAACTGAATGAGTGCATGGGTTGAATTCCGCCTTGAAGAAAAATGTAGCTAAGAGTCTTTTTTCCCCCAATGTCTAATTATAAGCAGATAATTGTGTTCTTTTGTTATATTTCTTAGTAATTATTTCACCAATCCAAGGCCCTCTAATGGAGAAAGGAGTGAGGTTGCTCTTCACTTGTCGCCTCAAAATAGGAGGGAAACCACCAAAATAGTATAGCAATAGAGTACCAGCCAATGTGACAAGGGGTCAGTAATGTTAGGAATATTGTGAGTTAAGGCACCAAGCTAGAAACCGGGAGATGGGGAGTTCTAATCCTGCCTTAGCTATGAAAGCCAATTGGGTGACTTTGGGCCGGTCACACTCTCTCAACCCAACTTACCTCACAAAGTTGTTGTGGGGAAAACAGGAGGAGGGAGTCCCAAAAGTGCTTTTTTCAAGAGGCAATGGGACTTCCTTGTTTGGATTGGACCACTTGATAAATGCATGGCACAACATAGGAGAACAAACCCATCAGAACGAGATTCAGCAGTCCATCTGCATTTAAAGGACAAAGGCCATACTTTTGAAGACAACAAAGTCCACATTTTGAACAGAGAGGACTGCTGGTTTGAAAGAGGGGTCAAAGAGGCCATTTGGGTCAAAATTGAACAGCCCTTTCTCAACAGAGAGAGGGATACAACATCATCTATCTCCAGTCTACAACACAGTCCTTTCAACAGTTCCAAGAAGGCGCCACACCTTCACACCCATTTGCATTATTCAGATGAGGACACAGATAGCCTCAAAGACTCTCTAAAAGAATGCAAATGACCAGCTGTCTGCAAGCAGTATAAATCCTTGCATTCCCCACCACCCATTCAGAACTGAAGAAGCTTTTTGGATGAGAAGCGAAAGGTCTTCAAAGAAAAACTAGAAAATCCAGTTGCCTCTTGAAAAAAGCACCTTTGGGACAACCATGACCTGGATGACTGAGAATCTCCACAGACAGGAGGAGGGAGGTATGCTGGATATGTTAGCCATCTTAAGTTATGGATAAAAACAACAACAGGATACAAATAAATAAAAAGTTCTCTGTTGCTTCTTAAACACAGTTGTAAACTTTTCTCTTGGAGTGACTCTGACGCCATCTTTCTTCCCTGCAGATGACTCAAGGTATCTTCACAAAGGTCATTGAAGAAATTGATCGTGTGGACAATTCCTATGGCGAACAGCGCAATTGCACCATAATGTGATGTTGCTTTCCCCCATCTGATGCTGCTCAGCCAGCGGGTGGATGGGGGTAAAGCACAGACCCAGGCCAAATCAGGGCAGGTGTTGTGGCTACCTAGAATCCTGATCAACAGGCCTAAACCAATTTACGGGTAACTCACACAAAGATACAATCATACCTCATCACTGGTCCTCCATGGGAGGCAGCCATATTTTGCACATTAGTTTGCTGGAAGCAATCCATGTATGTATTTCCTGTACATATATGTATGTATGTGTGTATGTGTAACGTATTGCCAAATGTTTACAGAAGTGGGAGCCACAATAGGATCTAGTTATGATTTGTCATATAGGGACTCGTCTGTGTATTTATAACAAAAATTACAATCAGCTTACCCGTTTACAAAAGGAACTGTTCACAACCCAACATAACAGAGAGGCAACTGAATGTAATGTTTCCTGAGTGGGATCCGCTAAAGACCAGTACTTTTGTTTTGATAGTTTTGTTTTGGTGATAGCTGAGCCTTGGACCCAGATGCGTAAGTCAGTTTTCAGTTTGTAGCTCTTGCAACACGTGGCCTTATTTTTTTTATCAGGGTGAAATTTCATGCTGCAGCCTGGATCCAAAGTCATTTTTTTCTTTGATAGAAATCAATGTGGTTGAGGTCTTAGCGATGCTTAGTCAACTTTTCTTTGGTTATATGCAAATAAATATAAACTTCTTTTAAGAATGATATTTTTTGTGGAGGAGGAGAGAACCTTTCATTACATTTCAGTGCGCTAAGCTCTGTCCTAATTGCATTGAGCCTCTTTGTATAGCAGCTATCTAGCTTGGCTTAATAGTATATTTTAAAAAAAAGCAAGATAAAATGGATGCACCCAAGCTTAACAAATGTTTCCATGTCTTGCCTATAATTGTGGCCTCTTTTTGGAGGCTTTTTGAAATGCTGCAAAGGAGTTTGTAAGGCGGTAGCTGTAAAAGGGACTGTAAAAGTGGCTGCAGTGTTTCTCAAAACTTGGCAACATTACGTTGTGTGGATTCCAACTCCCAGAATTCCCCATTGGGTAGTTTTGCAGTTGAAATCAAACAAATCTTAAAATTGGCATGTTTGAGAAACGCTGGGTGACAGGATAGAATTATATATTTCATTGTTCTTTGATGGTGGGGAAAACTGGAAAGGGAGGTAGCTTTTGTGAATATTTTTCTATAAAATCCTGTGAAACGCTGCATGACCATGCTAAGGTGCATAAGCAAAGCTAAGAAGGAGCAATTTGAGCTGAAACTTACAGCTTTCGACTTCCCTTTTACGAAGCTGCCTTTTGCCTTGAATTAGGCATGTTAGCTTAATAGTGTGACATACATACACAGGTGCCTGTGTTTGTGTAGATAGATGTATATATATAAAAATGAAAAAATGAAGCTTTTTAAAATGGTTTCTTGTTGTCTAGGACGTGTCTAGCACAAGGGTCTCCAACCTTGGCGACTTTAAGCCTGGCGGACTTCAACTCTCAGAATTCCCCAGCCAGCAAAGTTGCCAAGGTTGGAGGCCCCTGGTCTAGGGAATGGCCAGTCTCTCTGTTGATCACATGCTTAGTCTGAGCCTAAACAGCATCCCTGTGATTTTCCTTTGGCGTCTTTGGTTGACTTGACTGGGCACACACAAGCATTGCATTGAATGCTGGGAATGGGATTCCAGGCTGAAACTGAGCTCTGAACACTGAAGGGAATGAGGGTGCCTAAGCTTTGTGGACTGCAGGGTAGTGAGCCTTTGGAAATGAGTTCTCCAGTGAAGCACAATAAACTTTAATCTAGAAAAAGTGGGGAGAGAATTGCTTTGATGTTGCGGAACGTTATGTGCATCTCAGCAGCCATAGACTGATCAAAAGCACATCCTTTATTTTCATAGTTCTTCCTGGCAAAAGCTGGCACTCTGTGCTGAGGGGACCTGAACCTTGGGCCCATCCTCACCTTTTTCTGCAGTCCCTACAAAACTATTTTCCAGATGAAATATTTTTCTTTTGGATTTGTTGTGCCAGTGCATATGTTCGTTTCAGTGATGGTATTTTTTTGGAAAATCTTCTTTCTTTTAAATATGTTCCCAGAATGCTTTTTGCAAGCCCATTAGGAATGCTTTTATGTATTCAGAATATATGAAATTGGATGCATGGATAGGGAAAGGAATGGATGGATACAAGATTATTGTTGAAAATCCTGGTTTGGGAGGAATAGTCTCCTTGTACATTATCTTCAGTTGTAAAAAATTGCTTTTTTTTAATGAGTGTTTTGAGCCAATAGATTTATGGCTCTCAGAATGAGTCCACCTGATCCCTGTACTTGGCCATTTCATAAGGAATTTCTTTTGTATTTTATTGGGACTTCCAGGAATTCCTGTTTCTTTGTGTTGTTGCTCCATTTCTTAGAGTGCTGACTATTTTCCCCAGATCTTGTTTTGAACTCTAAAAACCTTCACTCCAGATTTCTTCCCTTCCCGTTAGGAATAAATGTGACTATTATTGCTAGCTTAGAGGGAAACGTGTATACCTTGATCCACATCTTTTGTCATCTGATTCTTTTTCGATAGACTACAGCCAGGGCTGAAATATCTCACTTGTCTTATTCTCTGGATCCTGCAGCGTTTCCCCCATTAAACCAGATGGTGATGTAGTATCTCAACAAACCCCTGTATTATTGTATTATACATATTATTGGATAGAAAAGTAGCAGCTTGCAATCTGGCTGTCAGTTTAAGTAGGAAGAGAGTCGTGGCTTTCCATGCCAAAATATCTCAAATTGCATTGCAATAAACTAAAATAAATTGGCAAATTCTCTTCACGGAAGCGGATAGATGGCATTTTCTTGGCCAGATTTAGGATTTCTAATTAAAAGTGAACTTTCCAAATGAGGCTTTCCAGGAGTTTTGAACTTAATTGTCCTTGCATCCATGACGCCTTGCTTTCAAACCGTGGGTCAGTTAAGGAGAGGGATGGGAGGTAAGCAATAAGCAGGGTGGGAGGGGGGAAATCCAGGGGTGTTAGCAAATCCAGGTTCTGCCATTCAGAATGTTGGCTGGCTTTGCTGGCCAGCATCTCTCTCAAGGATTTGGATGCTGAGGGCTTCTTTCCAGCAATATCACCTGCTTGGAAAGTCTAGTCCGGGAGCCAGAGGAGATGTTTAAAATAGTGCAGGCTGCCTCTATAAGCTCACTTAGTTGTGGAGTGTTCCCCTTGCCGTTCGAAGAGCTGTACTCTGTTACACAAGTTACATGGTTGCTTGCATTCTTTGGAGGAAGCCCCGAATGGGGTGAACTTCAGCCTCTTTATCTGCCCTAGAAACTAGTGTTACAAAGCTGTCTTCCTTTTGAATGCCAGTTCCCTTGGGGCTGTTTTAATGATGAAAATGTAGAGCATGCTTCCTATGAAATAACTGTTAATGCTAGCTGTGAATTGCAGCATTACAGAGATTACACAGTTGGGAAAGGCTGTGTCACATGGGTATCTATATCTCTTTTACTGCCATGCCCTGGGTACTCGTGATTAACAAGATTGAATTTGATAAATCCACGTGTTTCATTTTGAATCTAGTCTGTTTTGTGTCCGTGAAGGGCGGTCTTGTAGGTATTCCTATGACTGGTAAGATAGATCTTGCCTCTTCAAAGGGCTTGTCATACAGGCCCGCTCAATTCCCTGGCCCAATCGGTGTTATGGTAGGATGTGGTGTAGCATCTCTTTCTGTAAAGGTGGGTCTATAATTTTGTTATGCAAATCATTAGGAGGCTTCGGTTGCATTGTAAGAAGCATTCTGGAAATAAAGATGATACCAGAGTTTGTGTCTTGCTTTACACCGTCTCAGCTTTCCATTTTACCTTGTCCCACTTTCAGTGTAAATATTCTATTAAAACAAATCAAGATTTTAAATGAGATTTCTGTATTGAAATCAAGAATATGATTTGGGTGGGTGGTGGGTTGGGATAGCAGTAGACAATAGAACAAGGACTGGGAGGGAGTTTCCATGTTTTGCTTTGTTTCTGTAATTAAACTCTTGTTTTCCCTTATGACTTCAGCCTCCTAATTAAGGCTGCCTGTACATTCTGATTTATGTATATAAAAGGAGGAGGAAAGACTTTCAAAACGGTTTAAGGTTGCAAGAATTAAATTTGCACATTATACATGTGTAACATGTGCATGTAACCAGGTTTTAAGACTCACCATAAGGTTTTATGGGTTTAACAAGCCCCACAATTTAACAAGAGACACACACTATGGGGCTAGCACAGTATGTGGGCCAGGTCATTGATGCTACCTGAATTTGTTGGACATTGCAAAGGAGGTTTCCTTTACCATTGTGAGAACTGGAAGAAGCAACTTGAGCTTGATGATTTCTGTGGAGGTCCAGCTAAATGTCTTGTTTTGATGGTTAATCTCATGGTTAATATGAGCATGGCCCATATAGAGGTATCCAGACTTGGCAACTTTAAGACCTATGGACTTCAGCTCCCACCCAGAATTCCTCAGCCATCCTGGGAGCTGAAGTCCACAAGTCTTTAAAGTTGCCAAGTTTGGATACCCCTGACCTATATGATCAATGACTTCCTGCCGTATTTTAGCCATAGCACACCAGGCCTATGTCTAGTGGAAAACGCAAACACAAATGCACCTCTACCTTTTTACCAGCTGTGTTGGGAACTTGGCAATGATCTGCCTTGCTGAGCACTCAAAATTGAAGTAGCTTTGGATTCCAGGCATCTTTGGTACTTGCTATGCTTTTTCCTGTTGCCAAGGATAAAACTAATTTGGTGCCAATTGCATCAATTACATTATTAGTATTGAGCCACTGCTATCCTGGTTTTGACTTGCTTTGAGGTAGCATCAACAGTCTTAAAGAATTCCCTGGGAACCAGCCTGAACCGACCTTTATTGCTTCCTCTTTCCCATATCTGACCTAAAGAGCTATGGGAGAGTTGATTACAGCCATTCATTTCAGGGATGGTGAGCTCCCCCCTCTTTCCCTGACATCTTCCTTATGCATTAGGCTATGCTTGCTCCACTCCATGCTAAGTCAGGGGGTGGCTTGCGCTCTCCCATAAATCAGAACACCAATGCTGACAGCTATTCTTCTGGGTCAAGAGACGGCAACTGGTAACCCTCCAGATGGCTGA